TTCGTTTATAGTACTAATTGAGTTGAATTAGTGCAGATGATAGAATTGATGCTTCTGGAAGAAATGAAATAATTTAAAAATTTACGAAAGAAATCGAGCCCGATGTCTTCTGTATTTCATAGCGATTTTTTGCAGCTGGTATATGCGTAATCTATTTGGTATACTACCATGCATATACTATTGCATATACTACCCATTGTATCTATTGCATATACTACCATAAACTACAGTTTCTAAACTGAGGTTCGAGTTCTTTAATTATAATTTTATTTGTCTATGAATTCTAAAATAAATATAGGCAGTGCGAAATTAGCATTTAAAACGTTAGACAAAAGAATATGTTCCCCCCTAATCACCATTTTAAGTGCGTGGGCTGTCTAAAAGTCTCGACGCAGGAGCTTTTTTATCTTAAAAGGGATGTGTTTTTTGATGCATAACCTCTATTCAAGTTGCACATGGCCCGGCGCAAGAGAGTTCTTTTTTTTTGAGATAAAAGAAGCATTATTTTAGTAATGACGTACCCGGTGGGAAGTTTATTTTTGAAGCTTTTAGAGTGGGGGTGTATTGTATTTCTCCCTGTTTTTTTTAATATTTTTATTTTATTTTCTGATTAAGCTTTGCTTTTAATTGTGGCTGGCAAAATAGGGAGGGGGGAAACGTCATTTGGTCAATTAAAAAAAATTTTTTTCGGTGCGATGCATTGTTTAGTAGGATACCTCTTGAAGTTTTCGTTTTAACGCAAATGACGCATAAACTTATTTTAATACCATCCTAGCATAATAATATATGTTAATGTGAGTCTAGTACGACACAGTTACATTTTTGTGATTTATGTATAAACATGAAACAAATAAAATATTAAACTAAGAAAATGAGATATAAAAATGAGGAGTAAAAATTAAACTAATTTCTCAAGTTAAATTTATTTTATGAAACAAACTGATTTGAAGTTAAGAATGATATTTTTTTTAAAATTTTAAAATTAAATTTTTTCCCCTTTTTTTTTTATAGATATTCAGTTGTGAATTATTTTATAATTTTTTATGCATTCATATTTAACCTTTTAATGAACTCAGTGAATATCGAAATATTTATTCAACAAATACATATCTAACCGTTGAGTAGAATTTTTAATTATGATGATATTTGAGTTTTGGTCTATTTCTTGCATTGCATTAGTTTGCTAACATATATGTTACGGTAAATGGCAGAAATCAAGAGAATGTCGACATTCACTGGTGAATGTCAACAATTGCATAGTCGCTTTGGTGTGTGTCCAAAATATTTGTTGCATTCGATTTGATATTAATTTATTCGTTGATATTATTATATTTATTCGATATTTTAATATCTGCTGAGGATAGATTAGGAGAAACATCATTGCCGGTTAATCAGGAGCACCGGTTAAATGTATACTGGGCCGAGACACTTGACTTCAAAAAACATTGATGTAGGGCATACCGGGCAAATGTATACCGGGTAGAGATACTTAAAAATACCTAATATACATTTCGGACATTTACTAAAGTGACTATGGGATTGTCAAAATTCACCGGTAGAAGTCAACAACCACAAATTTTGGTTATTTATAGTAACATAAACATAAATGAACCTGCATGTAATACATTTCCAACAACATGTAATACCTGCATGTAATACATTTGAATTTATACTAAAGAACCAATGTTTGGTAAGCATAATAATTTTTTTTGCACACATCCAGCAAAATATTTTTTTGATTAATGTTTTCTTTTTTTAATACATTTCTTAAAATAAAAAAAAGTCATTTTTTTCATCGATTTCTTATCATCATAAATTCTGTCATATAGTCATAAATTGTAGTCATTTTTATGTCATCATAAATACCCAATTCATTTTTTATAAAAAAAATACGAACAGTAAACATTTTGTTAGTACAATCTGTAACCTTTCAAGCTTAAACGCGGTCGTAAAATATTATATTGACTATTATATTATTAAAATTATGAAAGAGTGAAATATTTCGTAGTTGCTGATCCATGAAAGGAATCAAGCATTAGAAATGATGCAACAAGTTGTTGCTGTCAGTGAAAGTGATCTGCACGTTTTTCCGGACTTCGAAACAGAGAACAAAAAGTGTCACCATGACAACCTCTGCACGGTGAAAAAGTTATCAAGGGCAAGGTCCATCTGACATAACAATCGTAGCCTGGATATGGTCCCACCCACCTGAAACAAGCAGAAACTGTAGGTGGTGCAGAAAAATAATCTCATGTTTAGTTTTCCTTTTCCTTCACTTCCAGATGTGCTAGTTTCGATTGCTGATCTTATTGTTGGTTTAGCGAGTGTTGTGGTTCTGTGTTTTGAATGTTTTTCCAATGATTTAAGCGTTCGTGCTTTGAAACGGCTTTGGTGTTTGTTCTTTAGATGCACTGTCATAAATAAACTCTAACGCGCTTTTACGAACGCAAACTGAAATGCATTTAGCCTTCAGAAAAGGTTGTGCTATTTGAAATATGGACTATCAAATCTTTCAGATGTGCAAGTTAGAACTGTCAGGAATTTTATGGAACTAAGAATTTTCAAAAGGTGCGAGTAAGAATTTTCTTATGTGCAAATTAGATTTTTAGGTTAAAGAGTTACAATTTTTAGAATGCATGGGCCAGTTAGCATTTATAATCGACGTTTAAAACCAAATGATGCATTCGAATGTTGCATATTTAAAGAATATGGTTGTCTTTGTTAATTTGAAATACGGAATTGTATGACTATTGTATATAAATCAATGAAATTAATCAGATTCAATAGCCGACATGCGAAGAAACTCCTCAAATATTTCTTAGCGTGGTTGATTTTTAATAGCAAATAATTTTTTTTACTTGCATAACTGTTTTTCTTATGAGTTGTTTTACCAAGAATTTCTTGACATTCTCATTTTCAAATGAAAAAAAGCTTCCTTCAGCATAAGCATTTCATCGAAATTCTCAAAATAGACTCATCAGTGTCATCTTACATATGAATATATCTATCAAAAAAAGAGGAGGTTTTACGATTAAATCAAAACATGAAGTCTCCTCTCGAGTAGATAAAACATAAGACGTCCATTTACAAGAAACGACCCTTGACTTGCTTCCGATCTTCCGAACACTCGAGTTTCTAAAGTTGACACACTACAGTAGATAGAAGATGATCTTTCGAACTCCTCCTTCTCTTCCTATTCGACCTCGTTCCGTGTTTGTTGGAGGAGTAAGAAGCTCAGTTTCATCAAGTTAGTTAAATAACTTCTAGCAGTCGTGATCTCGTGTCTGTTGTGTTCTCTTCTCGGATCTTTCGTGGTCATTAACTTCCGTTGCCATCTTATGTTATGCAACTCTTCTTGGATACATTGTTTGATGTGGTATAATTTAATTTAGCTTTCTCACGGATAAATAAATAAGAACATGATTTTAGCGAGAATTATTTATAAAACTGCCTTAAAATTAAAAGAACAAATTTTGGATTATTATTGACTTCCAAGTTGTGTGTGTTCGTTCTTAGAAGACCTCATGTGACAAATCAATTAAAAGAATATTTTACGAATGGTGCCTTTAGTTCGTATATTTAAAATATCGTATTTTTATGAGATTTATTAGCTTGTTTGACATAATTTTCATGAAAAGAATTGGACTAGAAAATTTAAAGTGTCACCTTTTTTACTGAATCCATTTTTCAAAAATTATTTACAATTTTGAAAAGAATTAAATTTCAAATTGAAAAATCCTGAAATATCGTTTTCTTATTGGTTATGGATATATTTTAATGGTGAGAAAAGTTATGCATTTTTACAGAAAAATAGAATTATATTTGTGCCGTTTTGAAAATCATTTGAAACGTTGAGAAATCTTGAAACATCGTTTTTTTAATCGTTATGGATATTTTTTAATTTGTGAGAAAATTTATGAATTTTGATAGAAAGGTAAAATTATATTTATGCCATCTTGGAAATCGTTTGAATAATTGATATCGTTTTCTTACTACTTATGTATGCTTGTTTAATTTGAAAAGTTATGCATATAAACGGAAAAATGCTATTATATTTGTGCTGTATTTATTAAAAGTATTTAACATACAGTTAAATAAAAAAAGAAAAAAAAACTAGATTGTTTTTTCCCCCTCTCTTTATTGGATGTCGATTGATACAATTATTATTCGATCGGGCGGAAAAATCTAGTTGGCATTTCTTTCGCATTTATTTTGTTTATCAACTACAGCTGTCAGTTGGAAGAAAATGTGAGTTTCTTGAAATTTAAGGAGAAGAAATTCATCATCGTGATTAAGAGTAAATAAACAAGAGAGGACTATGAACTCTGGTTGGTCTTCCTGAAATTTTTCGTCTTGCATCACCTGTCTTGATACCGTGAAACATACTGCTGTAGCATTTTTCTTGAATATTTTATTTCAGCTGAGAGATTATTAAACTCAGCTGTTTTTTTTTCTCCGTTCATTCAGCAGATATTTATCAACAGATGTTGGCGAAATATTCCATTTTCTGTGAAATTTTGTGTTAACTTATGGATATTTTATTTGACATTTTCTTAATGGATATGTCTAAGCTAATACGATTTTGGATATTTAGCAAATAGAAGCAAGTTTATTTGTTGATAAGTATTTGAATGTTTTGAAGAATTTTAAGATATATTTATTTCATTGATTTTAAGATTTCATCATTTATCTGAATACTTCAAATAGTTAAGAAATTTAAAATTTTCTTTTATTTATAGCTAGACTTTTATTAGTTCATGAATATTATAAGAGACATTGAATAGTTTCTTATTAGTCAATGAAGGAATTATGGTTTGATTCTTTTATTTTCGTTTTACGAAAAAGCTCTTGATTAGACTGTTTGAAAGAATTTGGATAATCTATAATTAATATGATATTTGAAACAATTTGATAATTTTAAATTTAGTGTTTGTTTTTAAGAATTTGAAAAGTCAATATTTTAGTGTGTATTTAAAAAAATTTGGACTTAAGAAATACACGACTTTTTGAAGTTTTAAATGCATTCTAGAAAACTACAACTACGAATAATTTTGCACTACTGAACTAACTGGACTATTTGGCAGATTTTGGATAATTTATAATTAATATGATATTTGGAAGAATTTGAGTAACTTAGAGCTTTTTTTTGGTAGAATTTGAAAACAAATCTAAAATTTAGCGTGCATTTTGAAAGAAATTGCAAATGTTAAATGACATTTTGAAGTTTTAAATGCACCGTAGACAGTAACAGCTACGGTTAATTTTAGTACTACTGAACAAACTGGACATATTTATTTCTACTGAACGAAATAGGAAAAGGACTATACATTTTGTATTTGAATAAGTCAGTGACTCATTCAAAAATTGTTTGCCAAAAGCTGCAATATCTTTTAATTTGAATACATGGCACCAGTGTCACATTTAGAACAATCATTTTAGTAATTCGTTTCCTGACGAGACAATAGAAATCCGCCTGTCGTCACTGTATGAGAAAAAACAAAGAAACAATCTTTTTTTCTTCTTTGGAATGAATCTACATTGGTGTTGAATCCCATCACAGTGACCCATGTCCTGCGGGTCCGAGGTAAAGCAATCCGGACCTTCATTTTGATGGTTGCGGTAAGCTGAGGTCGTTTCTACACAAGGCATGGGGTCGGACAGGCTTTACAGAGAAGTTATTTGTAGGCTGACGGTGAGTCGTTTGTCTTTTTGTTTTTGTTTTGTGTTTCTTCACGTGTATTCGTTGCTAAACTCGTGCAGATCCGTGCGTTTTTTTAAAAATTTATTTAATATTTTTAATTTTTAGATCTTTTTTTTCATGGACCAGGTGCTTCTTTTTCACACGAAAAAAAAATTTTGTTGTATAGGTTTGACTTTAGAGGATGATTTTCGGTCAAAGATGGTCATTATTAAACTTAGTAAAAATTTCCGTTTATTCTCAGTTTTCTGTTTATTTTTATTTTTTATTTTGATGCAGCTTATTTCATTTCAAAGATACAAATTACACTCCGTCATGAAACGAAGAATTTATCCGGCATAAGCCAAAACCTTCTCACTCATTAAAAAAAAGTATATTTATGTGAAAAAGTTATATTTTATCCTTTCAACTAAAATTTTTGAACTAATCTAAAATTTTGACCTACTTTTACCGTTTAATCTTTCTCAAACACATATATTATAAAAATTCTCAAATTTTATAATAATTGTAGCTAAAAAAGCGTTTAATTTTTTATATTTTTATTCTTCAATTTTAATATTTTTTCCCGTTTTGCTCAGATGCTTAAATTTTAAAATTTAGATTATTTAATTAGGTTAACTTCTATTTTCTACTGTTAATAACTACATTATCAAAGCTCTCAATTACAAATGTATTTAAAGGAATATTTTTTATAAATTGTTACATTTTTTAAAAATGTTTTACTAATTAGATTGATGGGTGTTTGAACAATACATTTAAAACACTCTAATGAAAAAGATAATAATATTAATTTCAAATAGTCGCTTTTATCAAATAAGAACATTAGTTTAAGCAATAATTTTGGATTAAGAATTCTTTTTCTTTGGTCTGTGAAATTTTTTTGGTCTCAATTTAAATAATTCTCGAATGCTAGAAAAATTGTTAAGAAATTCCCGATATCTTTATTATCGGGGTTTCGAACTAGTTTGAAAATTATTAATACAGTCAAGAAATAATAACTCTTTTCAAATATTTTCTTTAATAAAAAAAAGAAAAAAATACGAAATACTTTACAAATTGAATTTAATTCACCATATTCAATTCCTAACAGTTAATTTCAGTTAATTAATTTTTGATTTTTCTTCTTGTTCGGTATTTGACGTTTGAAGAATTATTTCATATAAGTGTAGCAAACGAGGGAACAATTATTAAAGTTTGCAATGAACTGTCTTTTTTTAAAATTATTACTATTTTGAAAAAGAAAAAAACATTCAAAGATTTTATATTTTTATTGATTTTATTGTTTAAGTTTTAAAAGTCTACATCTAAACGTGACGTTCAAAATTTAGCTTTTTTGTTCAAAATTTAGTTTATAATTTCTTAAAAGCCATTAGATAATGATATAAAAAACATACCGAAGTAAAAAGTTTGTAACGCAGATGTGTGAATATCATTCTGCAGCATTTTATTAGGAGCTTTACACAAGAATAATAGTAGTAATTTAAAATAAATTACTTGAATTTTTTTTCTTTTTATTTTTGCATAGAATTTGTAAATTTTCAACAAAATTCAGATAAAATAAAAATTTAATATTGCTATGGAAACAATTTATAGTGAATAAAAATCACTTTTCAAAATCCCCTATTTGGAATGAAATTATTATTTTGCTAAGCATTATTTGATTACTTGCTCATAAAAAGTTAAAAGCAAAACATACAATATTCATTAAAACATTTTTATCCCCAATTTAATTATGATAAAAATTAAATTGTAACTAAATTTCAGTTTATTTTCTTGCTCTTATTTGTTACAAGTTACGAAAATGTAATAAATTTAAATTAAGAGATTTTACTCATCGTTAGATGGTTTTTTTTTCTTCCTCAGAGACAAACGTATAAGAATAAAAAATTAATTATCTAGTTCTCTCTCTTTCATATTTAATTTTAATTTTCTTCCTTATTTGTTCAGAATAAAATGTCTTTCCGAAAAGACGAGAAAAAAGTTTCAAGAAACATATATTCCGAAAGAATTAAAAAACTTTTCGCTCTGATGTTAAGTTTTAATTAGTTCTGTCAGAAGACAGCTGCATTCACATTGTAGGACTTAAGATGCTTGTTGCCATTTACAATTTGGGTTATAAAATTTTATTCCACCATTGTTCTTAGCGTACATTCACCGAACTAAGTAGAAAATTCGAAAAGTGCATAAAAGACACGCTGCTTCAGCTGTTTCTTCGGGCGCGTTGCCAGATGCAGGAAAGGAACATTTTAGTTTTTCTTTCAGTTCTTTTTCGTTCGATACGCTTTGCAAATAAGAGACATTTGTTTTTGTAAGTCCGGATATTAACTTGACAAAAAGCAAGAATTTTTGGCTGGGCGTTGTATAAGAAGAATATCTCTTGAAAATAAGCGAACCATGAAACGAGTATTTTTCATACCTGTGTTCGTTATAGAATTTTTTCCTTTTTTTTTTTTATTTTNTTTTTTTTTTTTTTTTTTTTTTTTTTTTTTTTTTTTTATGAGAAATTCAAAAATATTCAGTGAATTTATGATATATAAGAACTTATATTTTGAATTCACAAGCGTAGTGTAAAAAAACAAAATGTGTTAAACATTTTGAAAACACTCAAGTTTTTGGATGAAAAAATTCGTTATGGTAAACTGCAAGCATAAAATTTTATTCTTCGAAGTTTAATGAATAAATATTTTTTTGGAAATAGTTTATTGAGGATTTTATACGTTCTAAAACTCATTTAGTCGAACTCCGCAATACGTAACTTTGTATGTTTTTCCTTTAAGGTTCTTAAATTCATATTTGATTTGTTTTATGGAAATACGTTCTCAAAACTTCGCATAAAATTTGTACTTTATTTAGTAGATTGGAATTTTAAAGAGATATAATAGAATATTTCCAATAAATTTTTATTGGGAGTTTTTTGCAAGAGCTTCATTATGAATTTCAAAATTTTTTAGGGAATTATTAAGTTTTGAAAAATTTAATTTCGACCAGCATGCTAAATCTAAAGTGACATTTTGAAAACACTCATATTTCTTGGAATAAACACTCGTTAGTGTCACCCGCAAGGCAATAAACATCAAGTATCAAATGCATTCATTAGTTTAGAAGAATACGTTCGCAATCTTTGTAAATTTCTTTTCAAAGGGTACAACAAATATATCAATTATATTTCTCATGTTTGGAAAATTTTATTTATTCTTTCAGTTTAACGTTAGTCCATTTGACTGGTTTTCTTTCGAGTTTCGACATGCGATTTTTACATCTTATGATTGTGTGATTTTATTTATGTTTAAAAGTTTCTTGTCTGTGTGTAAAATCTGAACTACGTTTTATTTAATAATGTATTTTTGAGCCGTAATGGTTCAAGGACTAGTGCATTCATCTTCCAATGAGGTGAACCGGGTTCGAAGCCCAGCGATGGCTGGTCGATACGAATTCCGCATTGTGCTGGCGTTAAAATATCCTCAGTGGTTGACGGATCATTGGCTAGAATCTCCTTGCCGTTAGGCTAACCGTGGTTTTCGTGGTTTTCCTCTCCATGTAACGCAGGTTAGTTCCATCAAAAAGTCCTCCACCAATGTAAATTTCTCCCAAGACTTGATTCCGGAGTTCCCTTGTCTTCTGGATTGGGTTCAAAGTTACAAGGCTATGGAGTTGAACTTAAATAGTCGTAAGCACAAAAAGAATGGTTTGGCTGTTCAGCGACTGTTATAAAATGAAATAACGTATTTTTGATCTATCTAGTATTTTTTAATTGGTATTTTTACGCATACATTAACAAAAAAAGTTGCACTATTATCAACAGCTCTGCTAATTTCCTAATGCTTATTAAAGTATGCAATATTTTCGTAAAATTAGTGTAGTATTTATTAGTTACGCGATGCGTAAATATTTATGGCCTTTTTGTTCACTCACGGTATCACAGGTTATAACCTCCGTTTAAATTTGAACGACAAAAAGGTTGTTGTATCGAATTATCAGCTATAAAATTTGATGCTCTAATTTAGTTTATAAATGACAAAGTGTTTTGTCTATTTATATGTAACGTTTTAGAATTAGTACTCTTTAATGTACTCGATGATCAGAAGATAATGCCAGGAGTTACCACTTATGTGAAAACTTTAGGTTAGAGATAATTCAAACCCATCTGGTAGACAAACTGATACCATTTACATGATATCCTAAAACCTGATTTGTAAACGTAAAAATTTTCACGAACATAAAAAGCACCATAAAATTAAAATAGTCTCTTTTTTTTAAAGTTATTTATCATTCAAATTAATTTACTTCATTTTTTTTTTTAAATTTGTGTCAAAAAAAGCTTTAAAAACCATAATATCTTGTTTCTTGTACATGTGAGGCTTAGTAGAAAAATATATAAAGTAAATTTTTAAGAAATTAATTTTTTTAAAACTAATATAAGAAGTTGTCTACCGTCAGTTGTAGGTATGGGACATAAATTTATAAACCAAAGGGGTTTTATAAATAATTGAAAAAACTGCTTTGCGGAAAGCTTCTTGATGTTTCTATGCAGTCTGAAGCTAATTTCAACACATTCACTCATTCAACTACATTTTATCAAAATTATTGGAACCGGGGTTCGATCCCGGCGATGGCTGGTAGCGAATTCCGCATCCGGCTTGCACCAACCCCAGTGCTGACGTGAAATATCCTCAGTGGTAGACGGATCATGGGTTAGAGTCCCCTTGCTATCAGTCTAACCGTTAATACAATTGAGACGAACTTTTAGGAGGATAAACAACGTGCAACAATCAAATTATAAAAAAGTTTTAGAAAAAATAAAGTAAAAAAAAGAAAAATAATTTTTAAATTTATACATTAATATTATTGTTTCATTTTTAAATTTCTGCATTATTATTGTTTTAATTAGGCATATTTCTGCTTTTTCACCCTCCTAAATCTAAAATTCGAAAAAAATATATATTGAACTGGAGTTCAAAATTCAATGCAGCACAATTAGAGACAATTTTGAAACA